TTTTTGTGCAATGAACCCCCTTGGCAATCTGGTAAAGACTACAGAATGGGGTTTTAAGTGCATAAAACAATGCATAGAATAACCGAATAATCTAATTATGACATAAAGTCATCAAAAATGTTTTTAAGCCCCAAATTTCTGGTATAATAATGCATGTGCTTCTTTATAATGTATGTAATCAAATTCTAATGGCATATATAATGACTAGTAATGATGAGTATATAAAGGCAATTTCAAAGTTTTTGCAACCACTAAAAGGTGATATGAAAAATCCATGATTTCAGTTAATTCTAGAGGTGTGTTGCCTAAATTCATAATTTAAGAAAAATATTAAATTCCAGTTAGAGATTAATGAATATAAATATACTTTTCTCAATCCAAGTTCACATACTCCCTGTATTAGGTTATCTGTTTTTATCTAAGTTCAGATAAGAACCTAGATCTACCTATTGGCAGGTCCAACTTTTGGTACTGAAAATTTTTGTTAGATCTTCAGTTTCAAGGCTATGTGGAGACATTCTCTGTCAATAGGTCTTTGCTCGGGCCAGAGTTATCTGGGCTTTCCTGTCACCTGGTGACTCAGCTTTCTGACACAAATGCAAGTTTGCCTGATTAGCATTGCCAGGGGTTATTTTCAAGTTGAAAACAGGCCAAATTTCCCAACCTCCAAGGTTTATAACTTCGAAAACTTCTCTTAGTCATCTCTGTTCCTTGTTAAGAGGAATTTGTTCATGATCTGGGGCAAATACTGTTAGGTGTGTTAAGAAAAAACTTATTACAGCACTAGAGGCCTGGTGCACAACATTCGTGCACTGGGGGAGAGGGAGTTTCCCCTCAGCCTGGCCTGCACCCTTTAGCAGTCTGGGAGCCCCCTGTGGGAGCGGGCTTAAGCCATCAGTAGAATATTCTTAGTGCTGCCACGGAGGTGGGAGAGGCTCCGGCCACCACAGCTGGCTGAGCAGTGCTCCTCTTGTGGGAGCACACTGACCACCAGGAGGCAGCTCCTGCATTGAGCATCTTCCCCCTGGTGGTCAGTGCTCGTCATAGCGACCGATTGTTCCACTATTTGGTCATTACCCTTTTATTATATAAAATTCTTATTCTTGGAGTATTTATTCTAGAATACATTTTTGAAAGCCTATCATGAGAATTTTTTAAAAAAAAGGAATTTTTAACTCAGTTGAGAACCAAAAGGTTACTGATTTGATTCCCCATCAGGGCACACACCCAGGTTGTGGATTCGGTCCCTGGAGTGCATACAGGAGGCAACCATCAGTGTTTCTCTCTCTCTCTCTCTCTCTCTCTCAAAAATCAATACAAACATTTTTAAAAGAAAAATTTATTTTGTATTTTTATATTTCATTCACATTATCTGAATAGGCATGAAAAGCAACAGTGATCTTTGTGTAAGGTTGGGGAAGGAATAGAATTTTATTTCATGCCAGCTGTGAAAATTACATTCAAAAGACATTATGCCAACACCGAGAAAATGGCAATTGAAGTGTTCTGCCACGAATTCAGCCAATTCTGTTCTTATTCGGGCAGAAAGGAGAAGTGAGAAGAAAATATGAGAAGGAACATTCTGGGGTTCTTTTTACTCCTCCCAATGGGAGGGCTTGCCTCACCTCCATGTTGCCCTTTCAACAAAGAGCCTGTAGCTCTGCTGTCTCCTATGAAACCAGTCCCTTCTTTATCTCATACAATGTTGCTTCCATCTACACAACTTTATTAAAATTGTGCAAAACTTCCTCTTTTTTTTTTTTGGTGGAATTCAAACCTTTTTTCAGTTCCCAACTTTCTTATTCTTTCAGTAAAATTTGACCTCACTGATCCTCCCCTCCTTCTTGAAACGCTTCCTTCCATTTCCCTGGCTCAGTACTTCTCTGGTCTCTGTCTTCATCTTGGATATCTCCCCTTCCTCCTGCTCCATAAAGAAGGGTGATGCCCAAAGTCCAATCCTAGGCATAATCTGATGGACTGTTCGAGAGTCTCTGCCTGTAGTACACACCCTGACAGTTGTTTTTTCTCTTTTTTGTAATGCAGGAGCCTGACTTCAGCTTTGATTGCCATGGCACTCACTACAAGAGGCACCCACTTCAAGGTGTCTATCTGGAATACAACATCATCAGTGACACAACCAGATAAAGAGCCTCTCCCCACGGAGGCTCCTTGGTTCCAGAGACCTTGGTTGATTCAATAACTGACCATTTGGGCCATTTATCTCCCACCCACACACTTTAAATTCCCACTTAAATTCATCAATAAAGAGTGAGCCCATGAAATTGTAGACCCTCAACATTAATTTTAAAGTCACTCCCTAGACCAAAACTCTTCCTTTGTTTCCTAATCCTAAAGGTGAGAGTGGCTTCCTGCAGTTATTGCTCTGAGCTACCTCAACATTCTCCTTCACTTTTTTTTCTTTCTTTCAGTTTTCCATTGTTTTCTGTAACCAATTCACTGTATCAAACCCTTTTCTTTGAAAGGCAGGGTCTGTTTTTTCTGGTTGGACCTTGCCTGAAGCAGACCCCTAGGGCAGTCAGAGGGAAAGGTGACAAAGAATGGAGGGGTACAAAGAGAACTGGCAGTGAAAATGGGACAGTGTCTCAGGAAACAGTGTAGCAGAGAGCAGAGAGGAGGAAACGATAGTATCTTAAAAACTGAGCAACCCATGGCTCTGTGGTTGAGCATCAGCCTATGAACCAGGAGGTCTTGGTTTGATTCCAGGCCAGGGCACATGCCCAGTTGTGGGCTTGATCCCCAATGTTGGACATGTAGGAAGCAGCTAATCAATGATTCTCTCTCATCATTGATATTTCTCTCTCTCCTCCCTTCCTCTCTGAAATCAATTTTAAAATATTTTTTAAAAAACTGAGCAGATGATATCCAGTGATACTACTACTGGGTGTATATCCAAAAGAAGAAAAGCAGGGTCTCAAAGAGCAACATTATTCACATTAGCCAAAGGTGGAAGGAACCTAAGTGCCCATCAACAGATGAATAGATAAACATAGGGTATACATATAAAATGGAATACTATTCAGTCTTTAAAAAGAAGGAATTCTGACATGCTACAACATAGATGAACCTTGAAATATGCAGTCCAAAAAGATGAAAATACTATATAATTTCACTTATAGAAGGTTTCTAGAGTAGTCAAACTCATAGAGACAAAGTATTATAGAATGGTGGTTGCAGGGACTGAGGGAAAAGGGGAGTTGTTTAATGAGAACCAAGTTTCAGTTCTGTAAGATGGTTACACAACAATGTGAACACACTTAACATTATTGAACTTCACTTAAAAATGGTCAGACAGTAAACTTTATGTGGAGTGTATTTTACTACAATTAAAAATAAAAATAGAGGAGAGAAATCCAGGAAGATAAGAATTATCTGTGTCGTTTAGGAAGGCATTTAAGATCTTAGGAACGTAGTTTCGTTAGCTGGTTGGAAGTCAGACTGTGGTGGGCTGAGGGGCAAGGGCCAGGTGAGGAAGCCGAGACCAGGAGTTGGGATAAGCAGGGAAAATAAGTTGGGCAAGAGCTAAGGGACTGTGCGGTCAAGGAAGAGAGGTTGGAGCATGTTTAGAAGCTGAAAAGAAAGGTGCCTGCAAAGGAAGAGAGAGGACATACAGTGCTGGGAAGGAGCAGAGTCCTGAGCAAGCGGGGCGGGGGAGGGAGAGGAGGGCCTAGCCTTGGGCAGAAAGGACAGCTGATTCTCCATTGTGGGAGGAAAAGCAGTAAGGAGGGGAGTAGGCATTGAGGTGAGGGTCATGGGGAGAACATGCATGATGATCTTGAGGATTTGTCTGTGATATAGGAGGCAACAGAAAGGGACCCCAAGAAGGAAAGACTTGAGGGAGGTGCTGAGGAGCTAGGTGAGGTTGGAGATCATGGATCAGTGTTCTCTACAAGACTGAGGAAATTTTCTCTGGCAACTAAGTAAGCATGAAGACCAAGTACAACACTGAGCCAGGCTTGGGGTGTTGTTTGGGAGATGCTACAGAGAGATGGGGTGCAAGGGAATCAAAGGTGTTGGTAAGAGCAGCATTTAGATGACCAGCCAAGGAGTTTAGGGTCATTCCGGGGGGATGGAGAAACCTGGGAGAACTCATAAAAAGAATTGGAAGAAAACAAAAAGATCCAGGGACTGATATTTCAAAAAAGTCAAAGGCATTTGTAAGGGGATTGAGACAATTGGAAACCTGGGCGCCTGGGGAGTGGTAGATAGAAAACAGGGGTACTGGGTGAAGCAGTTGCCCGAGATGGCAGGACAGTGTATCCAGAGGAGAAATGCACTGAAGTCCCACTGGAGGCCACAGGCTCTGTGTGAGTTAGGATGGAAAGAAGACTGAGCCAACCACTTAAAGAACCAGCGCCCCTGGGATCTCAGCACACACCCTTCCCCCAACGTTGCAATGTTCCAAATCTAATCTCTGCCCTCATTTGCTGGGGACCTTGAGTGTGTTCATTACTCATCTGGTTTCATTTCTTCCTATGACTCACAGGGAATACAAAAGAGCTGGGTCTTGTGTAAAGTGCCAGGTAAGCACTACACAATTATCTCATATAGAATTTGCTTGGATTTGCAATTAAAGCTCATCCCTATACAGTTTAACCTCTGGACTGAGGGAATATAATTATATGATAAATGATTAACAACATTTCATGGAAAAAATGTACCCAAATTAAAAAACTTTATGGCTTGATGTTGAATCTTAAAAAAAAAAAACACACCACACACACAAAAAAACTTTATTGTTGAAAGAAAGTATTACATATGTCCTCTTCCCCCCCCCCCCCACCCATTGATGCCTTTTAACCCACAACCCCCAGGGTTGAAGCTCTTTAGTCAACAAAAGTTGTTGACTAAACCTACCACTGGCATATTAATAGATTTTCTAGAAGAGTTGTTAGGGGCAGGAGGGAACAGTGGGACTAGCTATAGTAATAAGAAATATTAATCATGCTCTGTTAACCTTGATTGTTTTGTTTTGATTAAAGAAAGCACATTCTGACCTGTCTGGGAGTTGTACACCCTGGGACCTGGGACTTAACCTTGAAATGCTGTCCATTCTTCCGATCTGAGAGCTGCCTATCATCATGGAAAGATCAACAACCTTGTTGCCAAAGCAATGGAGGAGGCACCCAGACCAGCCCTTTGCAACTCCAGCCTCAATTGCATGCAATCTGTAACCATTGTACCCATTCTTATTGTTTTTGCCTACTTCTCCATGCCTGCAATCTTTGCCCCTCTACTCAGTATAAGCAACTTGTTTCCTAGGGGGAAAGGGGAAGCAGAGCAGATTTTTTGGGGGGACCTGCTACTCTCCCATATTACCGGCAATATTGGAAAATAAATGCTCATAAACGATTCAACCCTGTCTCTGCTTAACTGGCTCGAGCAGTGACAGGCAGCCAGGATCTATTTGTTGTCTGGTTTCAGAGTGATTAAGTTCATGTCCACTTAATTTGGCTTTGGTGGCAATCCTTGGATGAGAAAGGGAATGAGGAGGGGAACTCTGGCTTCATCCCTGGACTTTGCGGCAACGATTTGGGGAGAACCCAGCATCTGAGTTGGCCCAGGAGAGAAAGGGCCCATGGGACAGGGTAGTGGAAAGGTCATGAGGATTCCTGGACCTGGGAGATAGAGTATGTTTATTCAGGACCGAGAAACCAGAAAGAAAAGCAGCCTTGGCGTGTGGGAAGGTGAAGGGTTCCACTTTGAGGAGCTGGCTCTATGGAGACAGCTCTTTCATGGGGAGCCAGATCTGGGCTGATGGGACTCAATGGTCAAAACCAACCTAACATCCAATGAAAATAACATCTAAGTATGGAAGGATGGTCTGATGGGCAGTATGTGGGTGACATGACCTTTCTTCCAATCAGAGTTGTTTGTCAAGACAGTATTCTGGGTTAGGGGGAAACAGCCTGGCATTGTGAGCCCTGGTGTTGGTTTCTTGATGTTATAATTTGACTGAACAAGATGTTCCAGTGATCTAGCTGTAGGATCAAATCTGCCCATTTGCAGTGGAGAAAAGTTGATAACTTACTTATCTGATTGTTCTGAGAGAGACAGTGCTTATATTCTAGAAAAGGAATGAGACTGGCTTCTTGGAGTTTAACCTGCCTGTGGCTATTGCCTATGCTTAGCTCCGACTTCTTAAAGGATAGCAAGTAGTGGTAAACCCATTCAGCTGGCCTGGAAAAGCAAGAGGTGAGAAAAAGAAAGTCAGGCTATGAAGTAAAGTATCACCCTTAAAGATCACATGATCCCAGCCCCACCTCCTTCCTCCTCTATCTGCTTATTTGTTTAGACACAATCCCTTGGCATTTTAAAAGATGTTTTTATTGATTAAAGAGAGGGGTGGGGGGGAGAGAGAGATAGGAGCATCAATGATGAGAGAGAATCATTGACCATCTGCCTCCTGCACATCCCACACTGGGGATTGAGACTGCAACCCTGGTATGTGCCCTGACTAGGAATCAAACCATGACCTCCTGGTTCATGGGTCAATGCTTAACCCCTGAGCAACAGTGTCTGGGCTCACTTGGCTTCTAATTCATCTCTTTCCTCTTCTACTTCCTCACTTTCTCTTGAGTACTCCCTTCAAGGACTTTTCTCTCCTTTATGTAACAGACTTCTTTTTTCTTCTGCCCTCTATGTACTGAGAATCCATTTCCTGTAGGATCCTCTGCTAAAAGTGTCTGGTTACATATGATGTCTAAAGACATAGTTCCTTTACAACCCAGTAGAAGAAATAAGATTTTTACATATTGTACCATAACCAAAAAGTGGGAGAAACAGGAAAGTGCCATAGGCGAGAGTCAAACTGAGGAAATACAACAGAAGGAAGATGGCTTCCCACCAGGGAGCTGAGGAAGACTTCCCAGAGGAAGAGACATTTGCAGTGAGCCATAATAAAGGGGACCATTTAACCAGTTAACTGCCACGATATTTTGAATTTAATTTAAAAAGGTCCGCCACTTGCATCTATAGATGCTTGTGGTGTACAGATGGTCAAACATGGAGAAACAGAGCCTTATAACAGTGCTACATCAAATGTACACAGTAGGCTGCCTTCATGTCTCATTTCAGAGTGCATAAAGCACTGACATGGGATTTGTAAAAGGGAAGCTAATAAGAAATAAGCATTTTTAAGCATAGCCAGCTGCTAGTTTTCAAATTCCACCTTAAGAATCAGAGATCTGTCCCAGCCATTGTTGCTCAGTAGTTGAGCATCAGCCTATGAACCAAGAGGTCAGGGTTTGATTTCCCGTCAGCGTTCAATTCCTGGTCAGGGCACATGCCGCAGAGCTGCGGGCTCAATCCCCAGTGTGGGGCATGTAGGAGGCAGCCAATCACTGATTCTCTCTCATCATTGGTATTTCTCTCTCTCCCTTCCTCTCTGAAATCAATAAAAATATATTTTACAATAAGAATCAGAGATCTGCCCAGTGACAGCTGTCAGTTTGGATAAATGATGGAGTAGTAGAAAGAATGCAAACATCTTTCTGACTATCCTTACTTGTAAGTTAATCTAATTCCTATGCTGCAATTTTAGATTTCATAATATTTATAGGTGATAAAATGGCGGATTTACTCATGTCCATTTGTTTCAGAAGGGAGAGCTGGGTTTACCACACCCTAGTTCAAACAGGGGGAAAAAGTGGTTAGGATGACCACTGATACCAGGCTGTGACCAAATTTTCACTAGTCTGTGGTAGAATGACAAATAAAATAAAATAAAATAATAAAATAAAATATAAAATAAAACGATGGCTGCAACATATATATTTTTTCCTAAACTAAATATAAAAATTATCTTTTATCTAGAAATTAAATTTCTGGTCTTAAACTGGCATGATGCCAATGGTTGGTAGTAAAAATAAAAAACAACAACTCTTTGTTGTCAGAATAAAAGGCTGCTAACTCTATGAAGAGCCACAGAAAACCACTGGAGATAAGGGAAGTTTGCTGGTCTATGAAAGCTTAACACAAGTGCTCAAACTGATGAATGTCTGGCTTGCGGAGCAGAGAGTGGATTTTGGCAGACAAAATAAAATAACGTCAGAAGTGAAGGAAACACAGAGCTCATCTAGTTTGTGCAACTTCCTCATTTTCAGAGGAGGAATTTGAGGCCCAGAAATGTCAACAGCTTGCTCAACGTCACTGATCCTCTTGTTTGTATATTTTTAAAGCGGTCCTATATATAGTGTTTCTGATTCGTGTGGAAGCACACATGATAAAAAATAGATATTAATGAGCTCTTATGATACAGGTATTAACCATAACCTCAAATTATGCCTAGAAAACTCTAAGAAAGTTCTATATCCAAGCCTCTAACGTCTGTGCTATTTCTAAGTACACACAAAAGAATTCTTTTATTGTTTCGCACTCAAGAAGTGTGAGCCTCGAAAGGGCACCAGAATGTTATTGGACCTCAGTCCAGCAGCCTTGGTACTTGAGTTTGGCAAAGAAAGAATTCAAAGCCAAGGAACTCAAATGATAAGAGAAAGTTTATTTAGAAGGTCACAGAGCTAGAGACCGTGAGCCAGCTGAGCTGCGTGGGCTCATAAAAGGAGTTAGAGAGAAAAAGAAGGGCCCTTGGAGCTTAGGAAAAAGAAAGGCAGTGAGGACACCCCTTAGAGAAGGAGAGGGGGAAAGGTGCTGAGAGCCAGCTCAAGGACATGCATCCTGGGGAAAGTAGTGGGTGGGGGAAAGGCACAGAGAGAAAGAACTTTTTGCTGAGTCCTTTGTCTTGAGGTTTTTTGTTTGTTTTTTAATCCTCACCCTAGGATATTTTTCAGTTATTTTTAGAGAGAGTGGAAGAGAGAAGGAAAGACAGCAATATTGATGTGAGAAAAACACATTGATCGGCTGCCTCCTGTACACACCCTGACTAGGGCAGGGGCTGGGGAGGAGCCTACAACTGAAGTACCTGCTCTTGATTGGAATCAAATCCAGGACCCTTCAAGTCTGCAGACCAATGCTCTACCCACTGAACCAAACCAGCTAGGGCTGTCTTGAGGGTTTTAATCTGGAAGTCTCAGCAGAGGAGCTCAATAGAATATCCATCAACTTTTTAGATGTGTCCCCCTCTGGGTCGTTGTCTCTACTGTTTGGTCAGTGCCAGGGAAGGGGGTCATTAGTCATCGCATCTGGTCCTGATGTCAGCCTTGACATTGCTCTGTCTGATTTTGCTGCTTTTCTGGGCCTGGAGCTGAAACACAACTGAGGCCTAAATGTTATCTCAAGTTTGATCGACACTCTGGCTGTGTCTGTGGTGAGCACACTGGAGGCTTTGCTCCTAAGACATTTGATGTGGGTCAGAACCTCATTGTCTTGATGTTCTAATGTGTAAGAGAGTGGTTGTGCAAGGATTTGTATGGGAGTCATGCAAGGCTTTTCTCTGGCCCCCTTGTTTCTCCTCAAAGGTGCTCTATCGCTGACTATCAACATACCAAGGAAGGAAAGATAGGGGAGGGTATGACCTGCATGACCAATGAAATGCTAGTAGACAAAAGGTCACCCTGGCGGGGAGGTCCTTGTTTTCCCATTGCGAGGTACATGGGGCTTTCCGCCCTGGTGACATTCCATGCCTGGCCTCTCGTCCCTGCTCTGCTCATACCTGTCTAACTGCCAACTATGGGAGGATCTCAAGACCTTATAAGATCAAGCAAAGCACTGATCCAGCAAAATGCCCTTCCCATGCTTTCCTACCTGTACAAAAGCAAAACATCTCTGCCTCTCATTAACAACTCCAGTGCTTATGATCACTGGCAATATAATCTGTTCCATGTGCTTCAAGGTTTGTTGGGTCATTTGGTGTAAATTTACTCCCTGCCCACTCCCCGTTGCACGCTATGCTGATTTACAATGGGGATCAGCAAGACCAACCTTGCCATCCAGGAGGTGAAAGTCTAATGGAAGAATCAAAATTATGTAGGACCTTGAATTATAGTGGACTAGAGGCCTGGTGCATGAAATTTTTGCATGGGTGGGGTCCCTAGGCCTGGCCAGCAATCAGGACCAATCAGCTTCTCCACCTCCCTGCCTCCCCACCTCCTTTTTCCTTGCCTCCTGTGCGCCACCACTACACCATTCCCTGCCTCCCTGCCTCTGTACCCCTCCTTCCCTTGCTGCCCACGTATACCACCACCCATCCCCAGTTCCCTATCCCAGCCCAGGGCCCAGCCCCAAACAGGCATTTGAGGCCTACTGGCAAGGAGGAGGTTGGCCGGCAGGCCCCATTGGCGATCGGGGCCTGTGGGCTGGGGGCAACTCCTGCATTGAGCATTTGCACCCTGGTGGTCAGTGCATGTCATCACAACCGGTCATTCTGATTGTTCTGTTGTACCGGTCTCTTAGGCTTTTG